GTGTTAGCCGTGATTTCGATAAATCACGAGATAAGGTGCGAGCGCTGCTGCATTAATGGTGAGCTAGTTTTTGCTTATCTTTCCCCAGAACTTCATTGTGCTTTGCGAATTTGAAGCTGTCGCCCTTGCTTGGTTGTGCTGAGAATATTAGATCATTGGTTGACTATTAATATATTTCATATCTTCAGAACATTTGGAACTGTATGTTAGGTAGCAAATTACAATAAATATAATCTATGTGAAGCCTGGTTCGCTTAGGAATCCTTTCCCAAGGTAATTGATTCACTACGAACCTTTCCAAAGGGAGTAAATTCTCTAAATCAGTAACGATAAGGCAGTTTGCCAGTAAGATTATAAATACCAAGTGTAATTTAGTCTTACCGGCCACGCCAGAGTACCGATCGTAACAATCCTCGGGTCCCTCGAACCGGGAGTCGTACGTAAATTTATGTCATATGTTAGTTAATGGGTTGCCGGGAAACTGGGAACGATTTGTGCACATACTGCGAATCACCTTAGCTTCTGATGCAACGACGTTGCGTGGATCCCTTATCGGTTACAGGCTGTTTCGCGTGGTCCATTTGGTTAGACACGGTCCAATGCTAACATCTAAGTCGGGGTTCGATGGAAGCGGTTGTCATAAGACCGCTTCAGACTTCTTAATTAGCCAGGAATGGCATTCACTTGTTCATTTGTTATGCAACTTATCTGGGATTGCCTTCGCATTTGAACCTTGGAACCACTGAGGCAAAAACTATTCATATTTACGGAGTATTTAATATACAGGTCTATCCGAGCTGACTTAAATGCTCAAGTTTTGGAAGTAGTGCAATTATAACTGAGTCATAATTCCTTGTACCCACCATCAACTATTTAAAATCCACTACTAGGTAGCGTTAGTGCAGCAACATTGTCATCGTTTCACAGCGAAATAAAAAATAAGGTAAAACATATTAGAACACATCTGGTGTTACGGTTAGGATTCCCATGAGGAGTGCCTGGATAATTGATCCCGTTTTCCTCGAAGCTATGGTAACAAATGCATCTTGCCTGAAAATTTTCCAACAAATTGTTTGTCATGAAATCAGGAAATTAGAGGATGGAATTCTCTCATCGTATCACCTCACACTCATACGCAGATTGGAAATACATTTTTCTGATCTACGAATTAGCTCACTTCTCACACAGTAGCTCTTGATATGTACTTTTACCGAAGGACGGACTGGTCGGATAGGCTGGAATTATAGATTCGGGAATACCGACCGAACCATCGCTCTACCCTCGAAGCAACCCTGGCCTCTGAACAACTTTCAACCAGGAGGAATATGGTTCAATTTTAAGAGTTCTAGCATGAATCCTGCAATTTTGAAATCGTTACATCCCTTTACCCCCGAGAAAGAAAGCATTCAATACCCGAAAGCACTGAGAATGTCATCATGTAGCGGCATTGAGAACTGTAACAAACGGACATCGAATTTCCCCCTCAGCTTCCCTTTCATGTGACCGGCGGTTCTTGGTCTGTACAGTACTGTACATTCCCAGATACAGTATGCGGCGAAAAAATGGATACACTCATGTCCAGATGTATGACTTCATCCAGAAGTGGAACTGTGCTGCAATAATTTACTCTTAATTAGGGGTTGGGTGATTATTTATAAATAGTTCCGAGATTTTGAGATTTGTTTGCATTTAGTCGCAATGAATTTCAAAAAAGAGGCCATCGTCAATTTGTCTCACGCTGGGAAGACCCCCATCGACATTGTCAAGGCCCTGAACATCCACAGGGTCACTGTGTACAAGGTCCTCAACTAATTTAAGGCCATGGACAGTGTCAAGAGGAAGCTAGGAAGTGGAAGACCAGGTTCAACAAGAACTCCGCGACTATCACAGCGATAAAAGGAAAAATCCAGTGCAACCCCATCCGGTCCATGAGGAGGATGGCCATGGAAACGAACGTGAGCGAGGCAATCCTCCTGACTGTCTAGTCAGGAGGATTGTCAAAGAGGATTTGGGAGCAAGGTCGAGGGCCAGGGGTAAGAGGCAGCTCCTAAATGAGACCTCCAAGGCTAAGAGAGTAGCCAGAAGCCGGAAGCTCCTCCAGAACTTCAAAAAGAGAAAACCGGTGGTTTTCTTCACAGATGAGATGCTCTTATGAATCGACCGTGCCTCCAACAGTCGCCTTGACCGCTACATCAGCAACGAGAGGCCTGAGGATGTCCCTGAGCACATTAGGTTCACCTTCAAGACCAAGCATCCAGCCTCTGTGAAGGTCTTGGGGCTTGTGGCCTGAGATGGTAAAAAAATGCCCCGGTCTTCATTGAACAAGGCCTCAACGTCGACACTAAAGTGTACATTGATATCCTCGAAAAGTCTGTCAAACCTTGGATCAAGTCCAACTACCCTCCGGACACCAACTATGCCTTCCAGCAGGACGGGGCCCCTGCACACACTGCGAAGAAGACCCAGAAGTGGCTGGAGGTCAACTTTGTGTCCTTCTGGGACAAGGATATGTGGCCCCTCAGCTCCCCAGATCTTAATCCCTCGGACTACAGCGTGTGGGCGTTTGATGAGGAGGCTGCCAGCAACAAACCCCCCTCATCTGTAGCAGTTCTGAAGTCCTCCATCACGACTGCCTTGTCCAGCATGAAGGAGGACCACATCATCAAGACGTGCTCGGCCTTCAGAGGCCGTTTGGAGGCTGTGATTAGGGCTGATGGTGCCCATATAGAGTAAAATATATTGTGAGCTGTTAAATCAACTATTTATTTATGATTAAATACATTTTTGTAAAATCGCTCCTTGCTATAGTTCTTAATGAGGTTCGACAGGAACCTCCGGATTAGTCACGCTTGCCTTTCCATGTTTTCGCGACCTTGACTCTCCATGATGAAGCTCGGAGTGAAATTCACGACAAAAGAGGAAGAATGGAATGTGAGTCCACTTTGCTTGAAGAAGCACTCAAGTACAAGTTGATTTTTTTTTTAGTTTTTAGTTTACAATCCGCATAACTTTTTTGCAATAATATTTCAATGACCACATTTTTATAGATTATGAAGAAGGCATGGGATATTCTTGTGCTGAAAAACATGGATGAATCATGGAAATATATTATTGGTGGCAGCGCTAAAGCAATATGGCGTATTTCACAGAGAAGCAGAAATTGCTCCTTGTGAAACGGTACTTCAAGCAAAACGAATCGCCTGTAAGTGCGCAAAGACAGTATCGACGGCTCTTTCAGACCCGGGGTGCACCATCCAGCAGGACTAATACCAAACCTCTTAAGCAGTTTGAATCGGAAGGCGATGTCAGGGACCGTCGAAAGGGCCACCACGAACATCACAGCGCGCGTACCCTGCAAAATATCGCTCTCGCCCGACAAATGTTAATCCGCAATCCCAGAAAGAGCGTCCGACGAGCTTCACAACTTTAAATTACTCATTGAGCAACATGAACAATTTTCTAAACCAGTATTTCTGCAGATCCATACAAAATCCCGATGCACAACGGGCGACGAAAATTAACGTGGAGAAACGTTTTCTGTTCGAACTGAGGCAATCATCCCTTGTTATTCCCAATTATTCTCTCCGTTTGGATGATTAAGGAAAATGGAGGTCATATCTGACATGTCGTGTTCTGAACAATGAGCCCACTTGAATTTCCCATTTCTTCCACATTTTCTGTGCAATTTTGGTTATTGCAATTCATTATATCTAAAATACAAGTTATGTGAACAGGAAACTTGGAACTATTTAAAAAATCACCCTGTATCTGTAGGAAGAGGGTATAAAGTAGGGGCTATGTAACGATCCCATGTCGGACGGCAGCTTCTCCTGCCGAAAGGAAAGAAAGAGCGGTAGTATTGATGTCCAGTTGCAGCTCCTTTAGCCCTCACTCGACATGACTTGGTGGCCTCCGGTCCCGTCGGATGTCTTTCTGGCTGATAAATTAATGACCGACTTCCGGGCTGGCCGGATTCACGCCCCAGTTCCTCAGGTCAAACCACATACTTTCTGAGTGAAAAGTTTCACTTTCTTGAAATGCAAGGCTGTTTTGATAAATTAGAGCGTCTTCTCTGTAAACATGTATTCATCTTCAACATCTTCCTATCCGAGACACCCACTCTTCGGTTAAAGGACCCACGATGAGCGACAGTATCATAAATGTGCAGAGTGAATAGTCCGTCGAAATATTTTGCGCCTTGAGTGGTCGTCGAAGTTTCGATATCGTAATGGAATGGGATGCAGTAAATCATACTTCGGAAAATGCATCTGATTCGTGACAAAGCAGAGCACCGAATGCGTTCCTGCTAATCATCTGCTAACGCAATAAATCACAGAGAGAGTAATTTTAAGAAGTTATTATGAATCATGTAGGCGGCTAAACTCGGCCAAAAGAATAAATGGATTCCACGCCCGATTTGCGTTTTTTTGTTATCGATGCGTCCAACATACGGTTCTCGTGCTGAATGATGATAGGAATCATTACATGGAGAGAGAACCACGATTATACCTGCTTTATTATTAACAACTCCTTTTGCTTTGCGTCGCCGACATCCCTCATCACCTTGGAGACCTGAGCATGGAGCCTACACGGGAACAATTTCGTGTCTGAATCTTAAAAAAAATTGCCACGGTTTACGTGAAGTATGTGGCATCTGTAGAAGCAAGTCTAATTCCATACAATCTTGGAAACCACGAACTCTGCCTGGTGCCGGCTGGAAGGCAAGATCACTCGAATCCATAGCTTTTCCACGAACGATGTGACAAGTGATACATGCACCAGGAAATTAATCATTTTTACCCTGCAATAGTAACTTGCTTAACCGAGAGAGATTGCTTTGTGGTGAAGGGGACGTTGAAACTTTGCATTTGGTCTTCGTGAAATCTTCGGATATGGAAGGCGCAGGTCTCTATTGTACAGGCCCAACACATATCGCGCAACTCGAGCAGACGAAGGAAGTGACGTAAGCTCTTCCATCGAAACGAAAATATATGAACTGCATGAGTCACTTCTGTTCCACTCGACCGGCGAACGTGATCGAAGGAAGATGTAGCTGCTTCCCTGGCTTCTTCTTTGGTTCGTTTGGAGGGCGATGGGGACCGCGACGATTCGGCGATTCATATCGACAAAGAATCGCAACATGAAGATCACGTCGCCGACTTCTCAGCTTGTCGTCAGTTTAGAGATCCAGTGCGTCTTTGCTTGCACGGGGTGAGTCGCCCGCAACTTGTCTTATGATAATAATTGCTTCAAAAATTGAAGAAAAATTGAAATGATGAAAATTGAACTGTCTGAAGGCTGCTCAACTTTCATAGTTCAATTTCTCAAACAAAACATCCACGGCAGCTGGAATTAGGGAACAGGTGGAAGTCCCTTTGGCCGTAAATCCACTTACTCAAGAATTGGCAATTTCACTTGAATAGATGTTGCTTCTTTCCATTCAAGAATTCGACATGCCTCAGCTTCTCTGTGACACAGGGGGCGGGTTTTTAATTTGCCGCTTCGGATACAGATACGAGGAACCAAGGACTGCTGATGCAGGCAGCCAATTATTCTACAGAGAACCATCAGGTGAATGAAATGCTCAAATTCCCATATTCTCGGTCATAAAACTTTGGAAATGAGAATGCAGCTTAAATGGAATGAACTTTTCCCCGTCGCAAAGATTTTCATTTTATCCATCATCTTTAAAATTGTCCACTGATGAAAGCCCGCTAGCATTCCCCTGATATCGCCTTGCATAGAACGGATGTAACTCTTCTTTTTCTCTTGAAATATATTTCAGTTAAATTACATGAAGGCTTTTCTGTTATTCCAGTCCTTCAAAATGTCTGTGTTTCACTAACTTTCACGTACCAATTTTACCTACTAGCTGAGCCGTTCAATGAAAAACATGCTAGACCACATAAACTCAAGGTAAACCGAAATTCCATTTCCCCCGTATGGGCGGATGCCTTTTTTTGGAAAGCAAATATTGAATATTACCATAATAATTTCCTTTGCTTGTCTATTCACTACAACTCAACCAATAATGCCAAATCATGGACTCTGGAAGGTTACAACCTGGTGCCGGGAACAGGGAGTGAGGTGAAGTTGACACTGAAGAGAGGAACCGCAATCACCGCCGTGGCTGCGTGCCAGAATGATGGCGCTCAACTTGTGTCCTCCAGTAATGCAGCGATGGACAGCTACGCAAAGCAGCCACTGGAAACAGCAGCACCATACACATGGATATGGCTCGGTGGTCAGAACGTCACCGATAGCTACCATTGGGTGTTCCCAGATGGTGAGACGGATTTGATTGGGCAGCTCACAGCTCTGGTTTTTCAGCGATGATGCGAACCAACTTCACTTTCCTCCTCATGTTCGGATAGAATGGGTGCTCATCATAGATATTCGATTAAATTTACGTATTTTCGTTGCCGCCTCACACGTGGCAGCATCATATTAATGCATCTGCGACTCATGCAACAGCTTTATGCTTCAGCCTGATGCTTAGCATTACCATATCATGAGAAAATGTTTCTACTTTGATTATTTTTCCCACCAATACTTCTTTTGTATTTGATTGCATGCAGAATGCATCCAGATTGCTTGCGATTTTTCCTACCTTTCAAATATCCTCTTCTGCTTTTCAGGCACGACATTGAATGTCACAGGACCAGGCCAATCTTACTTCTGTCCACAATCACCCGACGGTTATAGCTTTTGTTTGGAACAACATCACTCTGGCTGCTGGCATACCTATCGTTGCAACGGGATTGATCCTGGATACCTCTGCGAAATCAAACTACCAAATTGATCCTGCAAGGGGACCTCGACCTCTCATCTGGAGATGAGCGCGAGGAGAAATACTTTCCGGCCATGAATATGTCAAGGATCTGCATGCATTTCTGATTGGTTTCCATGTGTGCTATGCGTTATATGCTTTCGAAGCTTTCCAGATACACGGATACTTTCCGGTGCGATTCGCTGGAAAGCTTCGACAATCTTTAATTCAAGTCATCAATGTCCGTAGGTCGTTGAGCATGCACAGGGTTCTTCACAAAACCCCAAACAAATAAATATGTTGCTGTCAAATCTGGTGAATTTGGGGGCCAAGCAATGAGCACGTTGTAGTGCATTTACCGCCATCTTTGATACTATCATGCTAAGAGTTGTGCGCATGCGCGGTTCCGCTCTAGGGTGAGTCGCTTAACAAACTCCTAAGGACAAACACACAAAAGGATGAGCGGTGTAACACTAAAAATTTTTTTTTTTACAAAGTTTTACTTTTATCCATACCCAAACATATACACCCTGTATATTAAAAAAAAAAAAATTATTTATTTTCTTGTGAGAAATTTCGCTCCTTTCATTATATTTTCGTACCTTCGAGATAATTTCTATCCTCTGCTTAATTTCCCCTCTGTTCAGAAACATTAACATTTTGATGATAATTCACGCGTAATATCCCTCATGCTTCATTGCTTTGATTGAATATGTGGATGTATCTCCAAGTCCTATGGACATTTTTGCCACTTTAGGAATGCTGAGGAAACTCTTAAAATGATCACACGTCACAAAACCTTCTCTTCTGCTCTGATTCATCCATGAAGATGAATAAATGTCCATCAACACATCAAAAACATGTCATTGATTGACAACGAAAATCCCTTGGCAAGGGAAACAAAACATCATCAACCATCATCATGGATATTATAGTTCTTAATTTCACATATCAGCAATGGGACCATGCCAAAGGTGACAGCTTATTGGCCTGAATCGTGGCGTGTGATGAAACCCTACATCAGTATTTTGACAATGACACTACATGAAGGCGACGTTGAAGGGCCGGTAAAACCTAAATAAACAGTTGTAAAAAACTTTACCGAAATAGGCGTGCCCCGCAGACGTAAATCAGACGAGTTCTTATTATACAACATGAGTGACTGACGATGATTCTAATCATGTTCTAGATGTGGTGAGAGGTTGAACTTGTTACACTAATAGCTGTTAGATTGATGGCTCCGGAAAATTCAGACTTTGGGGGTACATACATGTCCTGGGGGTACATTTCAGGGATTGATTTCGTAAGCCTAGGCATACTCCCTCCCTCCTCAGGGATGGACGTCCAGGCCCATGCCATTCTCTTCTACGCACTTCAACGAAACGGGTGAATCGCTGCTTGGAGGTCGACTAAAGAGAATGTCCGACATCGGACGTACCTCGTACATGTCCTGGGGGGAACGTGGGAAGGGAATGATTTCGTATGCCTAGGGTTAACCCATAGGTGGACCGTTAGGCTTATATCACTCTCCTCCTGCCTTCCTTCAATGAAAGGGAACATGGAGACCTGAGTGGGTTGCCGGATGCATAATAAATCCGACTGAGGAGGTACATGCCCTTTGGGCCCATTTCGCAGGCCTAGGCCTAACCTACGGATGGACGCTTAGGTCAATCATATCACTCACAATTTTTTCCTTCAAGGAAGCAGATGGATGGCACATTACAAGTATATAATTTGGGCTTTGAAAGTGCATGCCCTGAGGGGACTGACTTGGCAGGCCTATACCTAATCCTCGGATGGACGCTCAGGCCTAAAACATTTTTGACCCATTCGCATACAGAAACGAGAGCCGTAGTATCTCAAGGCCCCATCACAAGCTATGATTTTCCTCATATATGACAACTCCCATGTGAATTATGAGCCCGTGTAATCGGGGTCTATGAGCGACTGTTAGACTCACATGTGAGTGGGATTGCAACTCACAAGGTTTCGAGACTTCCTTGACTTTCTAATGACCACTCTTAGCATGTATGCCTCTTGATTGGTTGGTATGGTCAGGTAACATGACGCTTCCCGTATATTTCTGAATTCTATCAATTCTCTCGATTTTGCGCTCGATGAATGCCAGTATTTCCACGAAGGTTTCAATATTCATCCTGAGAAGAGCACAGAAACGATAAGGATCTTCATCCCGTAATTTTCAGAAAATATTGGCTTCGAAACCCTTTTTCTTCGCCTCCTTGCCAGCTATTTTTGCATCCACACACGTCAGTCACGTTTTCCACATCGCTGACATGCCCTAACCCTCCTCAATAAAGTCTCAGCAAGTAACAAAATTACTCCAGCAGTCAAAGTTTCACCCTGAAATCTCACAAGGTCTTCTTATAGCGTCTAATCACCCGCTCATAGCAAATTCACTCATATGGGAGCAGTCATATACCGTACTAGCTGTGGTCGCGCCTTCGGCGCTCCATTACCTTGGATGGTGATTAATTCATTTATTCTTTGCGAAATGGCAAACACGTATTTAAATTACGTCCCATTGAAATACGTGATACATGGGGACGAAAGTCTTCATTTTTATCAAAATCATTACTACTATTATTTCTAGTGTGCCTAACTTGAAATCTTTTCTTGTGTCCCTTTTTGTAAGGGTGCAGAATACATTTTTGAAATACTTCCCTCCTATAATTACGCTAAGGTTGCATATTTCAAAAGTAGGATTTTTTCTATACTCAGCCATCAAACAGGTACTTCTGAGGGAATTTTAAATTTTCTGTTTCTGTTTCGTTGNTTTTCTATACTCAGCCATCAAACAGGTACTTCTGAGGGAATTTTAAATTTTCTGTTTCTGTTTCGTTGGATCGAAAAATAATTCACGAAAATGGGACTTAAAAAAAAAGTGTCCTGATTTTTTTTAACGAAATTGTTTTTTTTTTATTCTGAAATATAGAGTTAGGGAACTCCATGCCACCCAGTTTCAACCTAATACGTTTCCCATTTTTACTGGCGGTAAAAAAATATTTGGAAAAGCAACCCACCCGAAATCTTTGCTCTGGGGAGACGCTCAGCAAAAGTTGAATTTTTCCTTAAATCAACTTCACGTCCGTTATACGTGCGTCAGCTGACATTTTTATATTTCTGCCCGATTCGCTAGGATATTAAAAATAATATGAAAACGTTACTTCCCCAAGAAATATGCCCCCCCAAAATATTTTGGAAATTTGACATTTGACATTTGAGCTGAGTGCTTCACCAGTCACGTTCTTGCCATGTTACAGCTTTCCATGGGTCTCCGTTTGATTGAAGCAAAGAGAAGTATTTGAAAATATGTTCCCCGAAAAGGCGTGCCCCTATGGCGTATATCACCAAAGAGGAATTTTTCCTGAACTCAGCATGTGAATAGCTACTTATGTCAGTCAGCTACTCACGATCATCTACCTGTATATATAATATGAAAGTAGAATTGTTTCTTTACTCAGCTATTCATCATGTACTTCTTTGCCAAGTTTAAACTTTATAGCACCCTCCGTTTTGCTGGATCACAAAATTCAGGAAAATTTGCAAAATGTGTGCCCTCGGGCGTTTTAANGTGCTGGACACTTTGACCGCAGAACTGTGTCTTTAGCGTTCTGTTGGCGGCGGAGTTTTGGAGGTGGAATGCTGTAACTGCGGTCTTTTGCGGGTTGGGACAGAGACGCCATTGACGGAAGTAATCTTCCATCTTCTTTAGGTCGTTATTTAAAGTGGCTTCCGTTTCCTCGAGTGTGCTATCTTGCGTTGCCAGCGCTAGGTCGTCGGCATCCGCAAATTTGCGGGACGTGGTCGCGGGCATGTCATTGATGTAGAGGTTGAACAGGGTAGGTGCTAGTACGGAGCCCTGAGGGAGACCATTTTGTAGCATGCGTTGGCGGCTGGTTTTATTGCCAAGGTGCACGCGGAACTTTCGGCCGGTGAGCATCGCTTTAATGAGGCGCACCGTTAGGGCACATCTAACAAGGTTGCTCAATTTCAAGAGGAGACCATCCCTCTAGACAGTATCGTAGACCGCTGTGAGGTCTATAAATGCAGCGGCGGTCTTTCTCTTGTGTTGGTACCCGGCCTCGATGTGTAACGTAAGTGCTAACACTTGATCACAACCACTGCGGCCAGGTCTGAAACCAGCTTGCTCCGGAGGGATTGCGCTCTCCAGAATGGGGGCCAGCCGGGTTAGCATCGCCCGCTCAAGCAATTTGTAGGTTGTTCAGAGGAGTGATATTGGTCGATAGCTCTTTGGGTCGTCTGCTGGTTTGCCTGGTTTAAGGAGGGCGATGACCTTTGCCCTTCGCCATGTTTTCGGTAGTTTTCCTGAGTTAAGGATGTTGCTGAATAGTTTCGCGAGCCAGGTGCATGCTCTTCCATACGGATTTTTCAAAAATTCTGGAAGAATTCCGTCTTGACCTGCCGCCTTATGGGTTTTGGTGGCGGACAGAGCGGCGTCAATTTCGGCCTTCTTGAAAGGTTCTGAGAGTGTTGCCGTCGAGACGCAAGCAGCAAGGGATGCCATCAGGGCAGTTTTCACCCTCCCTTTTGGTAGCCCGGCTCGCGGTTGTTATTGAGTTGGATAACAGTTGGGCAGCGATGTTGTCCGCGCTAACCTTCAGGTTTGTTGTTGTTGTGGGAGCTGCACCACCAAGGCATCGCAGCACATTCCAAGCTCGGCGGCTGGAGTGAGTGAAGTCAAGGCCCTCTGTGGCCTCTATCCATCTCTGTCGCCTTGCCGCGTCCAGCGACCTGAGGAGGTTCCCAGTTACCTCCGGGTCTCCGAACTCTTCGTACTCCCTGAGGAGTACTTCGCTTTCTGTGCTCCATCCCAGTGTATACGTGCTCCTATGGCCGCGGGGGATGTTCTTCTTCGCAGCCGTTTTGAGGAGTTTTGTGAAACGGTCGAAATATTCAGGGGTTGGTGGGATGCGGCCCACGATTTTTTCGACTGCTTCTGCGAACCCCGGCCAATCTGCACGTCGCAGGTTCCACCTCGGTGTGGGTGCACT